TATATTAAAATTATTTAGTTTTTGTTTAGACTTGAAAACATTAATATTTAACAAATATAAAACATTTTCCGTGTTGATATACAGTTATATCAACACGAGTGGAATTGGAAAAACGAGAAATTGTATAATATATAGCGATGTCAAAAGCCCGAAGGATAAGAAAAATTTCCGTGTTTAGAAGCGGTGGAAATTTTCCCGTGTTGACATTGAGTTATATCAACACGGCTTTTAGCCAATCAACGTTCAGAATTTACAAATGCTATATTATAAATATTATTTAATACAATACATGCATCGTTACTAAATGCTTGTGCATGTGTATGCAAAGAAATATAGTGTTCTACCTTCGTCCACTATCGCATATTGTTTTAGCGAGTTCAAGAGTCGCTTGGATGTCAATAACCCGTTGCAATTCCTAGAAAGTAAAAGTATATGTTTGAAGAATTGTAAGTATAAGAAATGTTTGAGGACTTCAAACAGAAGAAACGCCAATTAAGTAATATACAAACCTGCATATACGCCTTCTGGTTATCCAGAACTTTCATGTACAGTTTCTTGGAAACCTGAAAATTTAACAAAAGGCCTGACCAAACTAAAACGTTCGTGTTTGTTCATCCCTATACAGTAACTCAGGGCAATATCTGGTTGGTCTGCTAAAAAACTAATATGCTATAATAAAATGTACTATTGAATGATAGCTTTTTGACATGAGCATGTTTTTTTATTGTGCACAATCTGGCAATGTCTATACGTAAAATCTTACTGCTTGAGCTTGTCTTCTTAATACATTTCTGTACTCATCCAGTTCCTCTTTGTTTAACACCTCTGGTAGTTTCTAACATGAAAATTTCAGAATTTAACAAACAATTCTTGTTGCATATCTTCAATTAACACCAGTACTTGTAATATGGTGGTCATCATGCTTGCCTTTCAAGCTGGGAGACCAGGGTTCAAGCCTTGTTAACAATTCTTGTTGCATATCTTCAATTAACACCAGAACTTGTGATATGGTGGTTATCACACTTGCCTTTCAAGCTGGGAGACCAGGGTTCGAGCCTTGTTAACAACTCTACTCAAGGTCTTTAAATAACTGAGGAGAAAGCGCCACCCTTACATTGACATCAGTACAGTATATGGTCAGACGTTCGCATCTTCTCGGACAAGGACATTAAAATCGTAGATACCTCGTTGGGCAATATCCATTCACCAGTGAGTGAGATACTCGATCAATGGCCAACCCCACCTTCACGGAAAATGATGAATTTTCGGAAATTTTGACCTGAAAAAGGGCTAAAAACAGCCTTTTCGAGTGCAAATAGGGAGATTTGTCGGAAATTTGAAAGTTTTGTCGGAAATTTAGGAGGCTTTGCTCCCCCCCCCCCCCTTAATCAGGGCTCAAGATTAGCGGTATCCCGATATCCATGGGATACCAGATTTTAATTTTGGATACTAGATATTATAGGCTTAGTATCCCGATGGGGTACTAAAAAAATCGAATATATTGGCGAAGTTTGTATGTCATGGCAAAATGTTAGTCAAAAAAATGATAAGATGTTTTGTAGTACTTGCTTACAGACCTGTCTGGCAGTTATTTACCTTGTTTGGATATACCGCTTATCGAAATACCTACTACCCAAATCTGGGATACTAAATTTCGAATAGGAATACTAGATTTTAAGACCCTTGTATCCACTTGGATACAAGTAAAAAATTCAAATCTTGAGCCCTGCCTTAACTGAAAAAGTGAATTTCCGCCACTGAACCCAATAAACTCAATAATTAAATAAATGTGCAAGATTAGATCGCCTTGGTGAGTAAAAAAAAAATTTCTGAGAAAAAAATTTAAAATAAATTTCCCAATTTCAGGTAAACGCGGATTTTTTTTACTTCTGGCTAATGCCCTGATGGGGCTAAGCTGCAGAACGTCGTTAGATAGGTAATGGACATAATTGGACACCTCCAAATTTATAAACAATGGTTGTTCAGCAAACTATGGTCCCCAATGTGTCTATTTATATGGAGGTTACATGTACTGTAGTCGTAGTTTGTTTCAGCCCATATATATTGCATAATTTCACATTAACACTAATCTTGAGATCCTGTTAGAAATTACCTTCAGCTCATGATCACTTGGATCAAATGAATCAACCTCGTGAAAATATATCTCCTCTATTGTTGAAATGACCTAAGCAATAAATATGAAATAGTCAGTAAGAATGTGATAGTCAACTAACTACTGTTTAATCCACAATAAACTTGTGGCAGTCACCTCATCATTACTTAATGGATCATTTTCAAATTCTCTTTCTCCGTCCTAAAAGAAGCAAAGATAAAAATGACACATTTCCTACAAGAACTAGGTTTCAGATAGTGTGCTGTACTACCATCATCAATCTCCACACATGACATGCAATTTGATTGTATGGCATTTTATTATATTCTAAATGACAAAAAATTTCCTAGGAAGACATTTTGTTAAAAACGTCCCAATTTGAACATTTTCCAGCATTGGTGTTTTAATTAATAACTCACCAATCTTCAAAATGGTGTTATACATTTTGTTATGTTGTCATGCATAAGCTTGTTGTATGTGTTAATTAGCAATGTTTCATAAATATTCCTAGTTTTGTCAGCGAAAAAAGGTTGGGGGACAAATTAAACCAATGACCGATTGCTCAATGGATAACTGGAGCTTAATAGCTCAGATTTCAAAATTTACCCAGGTGAGCATAGCTCCAGATACCCCCTAAGAAGCTCATGCATGTCTTCAGCATTTGCTTTATAACTGGGAAAGTATTGGGCTAATATATTATTGTACTGTTAATTAAAAACCAGATTTATGACATTTGTCATTTGCCAAATACTGCAATAACAAAAAGACCAATCATTCACATATAGCCATACTTGCAATCAAATCAGGTAAAGTGCAATATTAAATGGATGAGTGCCTTTCAATTATTGAGCATACATTGTAAACAATTTAAACATTTTGTATACTTTGAAAAACAGACTTCTCATACACCAGAATTCTATAAATGAATCACCTTAAACACAGCTGTTCCAATGCTGTTTTCATCCAAACTTCCACTATCTAGTTCTTTTCTCGTGTGCTACATAAATGAAATAAATACCAATCATAATAGACATGTTTATACTCCATTTACAAGGTACAAGTTCCGCATATTAAATTCAATTCCCCGTATTATTCTGCATTGAGAAATTGTTATACAACGCTAAAGGTATTCTGGCTAGCTATATATCTGAAGTAGTTGTGTAATATAACACTTACCTCTAAACCAAGAAGTGAACGAAAACGGCTTCGAATAGCCATGGTGTAGTCTACAACTCAACAATATTTGTCCGCCATGTTCTGGAACTGTTTACGTGAATATTTTTGTAAAGCCGTTGATCTCCTGAGTCTTGATAACTGGATCGTGATAGATATACAAATTACTTTTCGCTCCAGCCTGCGAGGACCAAAATAAATTCCGGAAAAAAATTTTTCTCATCTCAAACCCTTTGTTAGATTCTTTCTGCAGTGCCCCCCCCCCAGAAATTGAGAGCCAGCTACGGGCTTGGCGAGGACGTGCGGGCGGGAAAATTACCGTCTTGTATACGAGATTGAACGGAACGTTGAAAAACGTTGAAGGTTTGTACGAGGGTCCTGAAGTGTTGGGTTGGGGTCCCAATCCCATTTCCCACCTGAAATTTTGGCAAAATCCCAGTCCCAGTTGGATTTTTATTAGAAATCCCAGTCCCAGTTATTGAAATCCCAGTCAATAAAAAACCCCTTTATTTATCGGTAGATAAACAGTTTTAAGACCTCTTAAGCAAGTGGCGGACACTTTATGAAATATTAGGGGGTGCTCGTGCCGAAGGCACGGAAAATTTGTAAATTTGAATCCCGGAAATGGCATTTGCAGCATTCTGAGACACGCATAATCAGAAAACCCAGAATTCCGGGCGCCAGAGTGCAGGTAGTGCTGTGAATAATATAGTTAACAACAAAAATCATGACCAAACACACCAAAACGGATCAAAATTGTATTTTAAAATACTCGAAACGCAGAAAAATTGGGAATCGACTCGCATTACCTCAATCCCATTCCCTTTTTTGAGGACTTCATTTTCCATTCCCAGTGGCCAAATCCCAGTCCCAGCAACCCAATTCCCATTTTCCCAGTCTAAAAATAGATCAATCCCAGTTCCCATTTTACCCCTTCAGCAGGGACGCCGGAACGATAATAGGGCAAAGGGGGGCGGACACACACCAAGGGCACCTTTACTGAAAAATTTTTTTTCACTGCAAAAAAATTTCGGTCAGTGTACCATTTTAGGGGTCAAAATTTTTTTCCGGACATACAAAAATTTTCCGTGAAGCCAAAAATTTTTCCGGATATCTTAAATTTTCGCCATTTCTTCAAAATATTTTTCTAAATTCCAAAAATTTCTCAAAATTGTTATATATATATAAACTATAAATTACCTGAATCTCGTGATTTTCCTACAAAAAGCATCGTTGGAAATGTGATTTATCACGTATTATTTTACAACTAAAAGGGCACTTCTGCCCCCCCCTGCCCCCCCTAGCAAAAGGCAAGGGGGACAGCCGCCCCCCCCCCTGCCCCCCCAGTTCCGGCGTCCCTGCCCTTCAGGACCCTCTTGTACCTTATGATTAGGTCTTGACAACACTTCTCGACTGTAGATCAGTTGTCAGAGACAGGGGGGAGGTTCAAGCCCGTAGCTGGCGCTCAATTTCTGGGGGGCACTGCAGAAAGAATGTAACAGAGGGTTTGAGATGAGGGGTTGAATTTTTTTTCTGACAACGACCTCCCCCCCCTGTCTAAAACAATAACAACATTAACAGCTATTAGTTCTGCAAAACGTAAGGGGGGCATAATTTCAATTTTATTTCCGAGTGGGGGAGCACTGGGGGGCACTGCCCCACCGAGTGGGGGGCACTGCCTCCCCAGGCCCCTCCCCAGCTACGGGCCTGGGGGGGGGTTATGTTCTGCGCAGCAATGCATTTGTAACTTGTCGCCTTCGGCAATATATCATTGCGGCAAGTTAAAATTAATTCTGCGAATTTGTGTCACTGTCAGGGGAGAATCTTGCCTCATTTTTTAGAGGGCATGGAGGTTTTCCAGAGAGGGTGTAATACTATGGGGGTCGGGCAAATTCTTCCCGGAAAAATTTCAAATTTGAAGCCCAGAAGTGCCATTACAAGCATAAATTAGTTACATTAGTCATAGAATTTACAATGGTAGAACTTGGAGTTCGTCGTTTACAGTTAGCCGTTTGCCGGCGTAACGTCTCTACTGAGTTTTCAGCAGTGCGTTCCGCAACTCAGTTCCACCGCTCCCAACACCTTTCATACAAAAGTCAAAATTGGAATGCTGTCTTCGTTGCATAAAATGTAAATCTCAATTTATTGCTATGTCCTTAGATTTCATACGTGATATTAAGATGAGGTCGTCGACAAATACAAAAATACCCGAGCGCCGCTATTGCTTTTCAGTAAAGTTACAACGTCCTTTTTCCCATTATATCTACTTTGCAATTATATAACTGATATCCTCGCGTACGCTCAATTAATAAAGTAGTTTTTTCTTTTTTTCGTTTTGTTCATCTGAGCCATACAAATTTCTTCTAGTGCATGGGGGTTTTGGCACTTGATAATTGAAATCGTCTTTGGAACTATGTTTTGTTGCCTTGGTCAGTTTGAGACACTAGAGTGAGTTTCTGAACTCACATTTTGAGTCATGTATTTTATTAGTCTCACAGGAGGCCAGCCGTTGTCAAATCATGGTCTATCAAGATATGATGGTCTGAAAACTGAACAGAAGTCATTGTATTATGTGTTTTTGTCTAAGTTTATGTTAAATTTGTGGACGGTCACGGTGATTGAGATCCTTGTATTTTCGTGTAATTATTAAGTAACCGTCCAATAGGGATAGCCGAGATGAAACGTGCACCACAATGAATAATACTTAAATGAAATTGAGACAAAGGATTTGTGCACCGGCGTTGAGGTGGCTTTGAAGTTTGCCATGCTTCCAGCTAGACCATCATATATATTTAGTTGAAAGACCATGGTCAAACAGTGTCACAATATATATATGAAAACGTACAATGAGTAGGAAAACAAGAAAAAACAATGAACTTTCCAACAGTAACGTAACTCTAAATGACTGTGCCTGGCAAAAGCGCCTCGGTCAAGGGACTACGCCGGAAAGAAAAAACGAATTAGCAATTATAATTATAAAATAATAGGTACACGACTCATTCCCCAACCCGTCGAAACTCTGAATAGTAGATCAACGGAACCTTTTCATTACACCACAAAGCTAGTTACACCACTGTATTCCAATCACTGAATCGTGACTGTTATTTAGCCACAATTCAGGTAACCCTTTCCGAAAAAATTTTTCACCTGCAACCCACTCAACAAATTTTTTGGGAATTTTACACTGAAACATTTTTTGTCATAAATCGGGCAAAATGCAAAAAAGTCGGGCAAAATTCGTTCCAACAAACACTTCCCCCACCCCCAAATTCTCCCCTCCCATACGCCGATGGATATTTCCCCCACGAATGTATTCAGTCACCATTTATAAGCGGTTTACACAATGATTTCTTACTTAGTATACACATTTGCACTGGACTGACATCAACTGTTAAAATGATTAAAATTATAGTTTAAAAAATTATATCGATTGTTTATTAATGATATTCTGTAGTATATTATCATGTGGAATATATATAAAATTAAGTGTAACAGAATATCCGTAAATGTTCACAAGTATCCACCAAACCACCAGTTAGTGGTCGAATCCGGACCAGCCGAACAGCGGAATTTGTTGTTAATGGAGCTATAAAATCCAAAGTTATCTTCACTCGACACGGCTCCTACGGTTGCCACTAATTGACAGTTGTTTGGATATGAACTATCAATTGTTGGGGGATACGTGTTAATTTTTTGCCACCACGTTGCTGTACATTGAGCGCATTGATGACCACGAATATTTACGAATTCCATCTTTTTACACACCGCATCTCCTAAGAACGTCATGACATCAAAATCTACAAAGTTGGCTCTTGCGTAATCTCTATAGTCCACGCCATGGGTAGGGAGACTGCATGTTACTCTCCAGTGAGTGGAGTGTGGTTTGAGAGCGTTCATCTGTGATAACGACATTCTGTAGATGTTCCAGTTGGGTGTTTTTTCATTCACTGGTGCGTTGGTTTGCAGAGGATGTCTGCGTATTTGATCTACTCCTTTGTTTTTCAGAGCAAAAGATTCAATTAAGGTCCAGGCAGACCCTAATTCCGATTCCATGTCACAGTACACGGTAATAAAACGGTCGTTGGTTTGGTCAAAAATTTGGTAATGTCCGTTGGTTTTGATGCCTCTCTTGAGTAGATCAAGACAACTACGTGTTGAGCTGGAAACATCTTGAGAAGCTTCGCAATTCTGCAAAAGACTTAATTTATTAACTTCATTTTGAAAATAAAACACATATTCCTCAAGAGCTCTAACCAAATGAATGAAAAGTAAAACAAGAGACAAATGATCCGTCTGGGCGAAGTAGTTTTGCTAAGAAAAAATATTTATTAATTTTTATAAACTGAACCTACGCGTCAAGACAAACAATTAGACATATTCTATTAGAACATGCAATTAAATTACATTTTGACACAATTTTCACGTCGTCTTTGACGTCCGCGTTCTCGATCTAAATCTCTAATCTGCTTTAATAAACCCCTTCCAGACCAGCATGTTTTCCAGCCTCGTACCCAGGCGCAAATAACTAAAAATAGGCACACTACAGTGTTTTTGTATAGATCACTGGCTCGAGCGCGCGGGGGTGCTTGGGGAGGACGCAGGAAACGAAGCTAGCCCACTAGCCTCAGCTAACCCGCTGCATCCTCCCAAGCACCCTCGCGCGCTCGCTCAACTTAGCCACTGATCTATATAAAAGCACTGTAGTGTGCATATTTTTAGTTATTTGCGCCTGGGTACGAGGCTGCATGTTTTCCTGGACAAGCTTCTTGACGAGTTTATACTTTGTTCGTTCACTGCAACCAGGTATATCAATCATACAAGTTTTTTCGATCAATTTTCCTTGCAAGTTTTTTACGAGCCCTGTGATTTAAGCAAGTGATCAATTTCATGACAATATGAAAATAGCTGAAATTATTATTATTACGTGGATACCACACTTCCAAAGCAAATTTCAAAATAAACGAGATTTAATGGCAATGGTCGCTCGAAGATGAGTGTGCAGTGACGCAATTACTTATCAGAGTCCCTTGATGGCCGTACACTAGGGATGGGCGATACCAGCTTTTTCATTCGATATGATATTTGCTCGATATTTGCCGGGTTTTTTCGATATCAATACCGATATCGATATTTTCCCAACTTGAAATCATTAACAACGGCAACAACGCTAACAATATAAACATTGAATAATATATGTCAGTGATTGCAACCAACATAACCAGACACTCCCATCCTGCCCGTGGACCATTATAGCACCATAGAAAATGAACTATTTTTACGCCTATTTAGGCTTTTGGTATCATGTTCATGATGATGCTGCTGACCAAAATTAAAAAGCAGAAAATATCGAAACATCGATATTTCTTGCCAGTATCGATACTTTTCTTCAAAACCCTGGTATCGATGGTATCGAGTATTTAGTATCGTATCGGCCCATCCCTACCGTACACACTGCACGGAACAATTTTCCTTGACCTTGCTGAAAAAGCTGGCATGACTAGGTTTTGAATGTTAAGGAAAACTTGCATGCTGGTCTATATGGGGTTTTAGTTCGTCCACGCAAAACTATACTCAGACGAAGTTGCGTTCTGCGTAGTTCTGTGTATGAATTCTGTATATGATTTGGCTATATATATATAATGATTAATGAATGAAAAATATCAAGTAAATATAAGGTATGATTTGTTCACAGAAGTGAGAACAATATCGTAATATTTTAATAATATTATATTATAATAGGAACTTCTATAGATAAAAATTTAAGGCTTGACGTGGGCCTTAATCTAATTAAAAAAGACGAAATACAGTTGCAGCAGTTGCAGTTGCCTGGTTGCAGCAGCTTATGAACCAGAGATCGAGCGGAAATTAAAGTTGTGCGGAGGAATTGGTTTGCTAGATAGATCGAGTACTACTTAATAACTTTAATACCTGCATCTGTAACAGAAAGACGAGGGCGATGACGTTGTACAGTAGTCCCATTTTTTTTTTATTTCAATCTGTAATGAAAAAACAATAACTAACATTGATTAATTAGTTCAAATTTGTGCGGATTCAGTCTGAACAAGAAAATATATAGACATGCAAATATAATGACTAACGATTTAATAAATGTTGTCTTAACTTAGCGCAGATTTTAAGCCTACTTTGTGCATGGCAGCTGAACAAATAAAAAACAGCACAGGACTTGTCTTGAATCATGCAAGAATTAAATAGCGCGAATTATTCTAAGGTCACTTTTATATGAAACATATTTCGCGCACCTATTGCTAAACGCAAAAACAAATCATTGTCTATACTATATATGTATGTACTTACAGTACTTTGGTTTGCAAACGCATTGTGTTTTGACCTTCCGTTTCAAAACCTCAGTTTACACATGATACCGGATTTGCTTGTCACCCATCGAATGGTTTCAGGAATATCTTAACACTTATTGCGATAATATAACAAAATAAAATAAAAACTATAAAATAAGACCGCCTAAAAAACATAAAACATAATGTCGTTCTTACCTTCTATACCAATTTTTTGTTTACGTACGGCTAGCAAGCTCTCCACCTCTAAAAACAGAGTAAGTATTAGATCTGTCAGGTCAATTTATACCTCGATACAGCTTTGCGCGACCTTATTATGTTTTAGTATTTACACATGATATGACGACATAATGACGTGCGCGCATTCAAATTTCCGCAAACGTGCGTGCATTCAAGTATATCAAGTTACTTACACCCACGTAGCAACCAAGCCCCTTTAGACTAATTTATTTTCTAATCAATGTTTAATGACGAGATGGGCTACAGTTTTGACAATATCACAACAACATTTGCGTCCAAAAACAATACATCCACCCCGAGTGGTTGTTGGAGCCTTGTTTTTGTTCGCTTTTCCAGGATCTTTTACGAAATTGTTGGAACGTTGATATCATCTTCCTCTTGCGTCATCAGCAGTTTCTTTCTTCAGTTCATCCATCTTTCTTTGGAATACTTTCGGTGTTGATCTTATTCGAAATTCCCTTTGAATCCCTTGTTGAAGTCTTTGGTGTCGAGGCATAATCTTATCGTTGTATGTTTCTGTGAAACAACCACCAGAGAACTCAGATAAGGTGTTAGCAGCAGACATGGGTGAAATTACTTGTTCCTGTACCATTCGGTCAAGTTAGACCCTTAGCTTGTCTCGGGAGTTTCCGGCACATGCCAAGGTACATGTTGGACCGGTAGTATTTTAGTATCGATTTTGATGTCATACTCACTCGATAGGAGAATTTTCATTCCTATGAATGGCGGATGCGTCACCAGTGACAGTTAGGAGCGGCGCTGCAATTTCCGTTTCGTAAACCACCATGCAAGTGACAACATGCAGTGTCACCACTTTCGGTGTGCGTCACATCCGGTGAATATGAAATGAGATATTCACCACGCAAAACACGCGTTTAAATGCGTTCCGACGTGTTAAACGACACAAACAACGCGAAGTCACGACATAGAGTTAGGTGATACTTAATAATTATATTATATCATTCCAGTCTATTAAGAAACACCCACTGACCGATCATGGATGACAAAGAGAATTAAATTAAATTGTATCTATAAACGACAAATAATTTTCATATAAGTTTCAATCAGGATTTAGACCAGGTGATTCGACAGTAAATAAAATCCTGTATATTGTTCATCAGATCTCAGTTGCGCTTTTGAAGCTGGCCAAGAAATAAGAGTTGTATTTTTGGACATAAGTACAACTTGAAGAACTCGGAATTCGCAATTAATTTATATAAGTGATTTAACTGACGATCTAGAATCCTGTCCTTTTAGTTTTGCTGATGATACTACCCTCTTCGGAGTTGTTGATTATCCAATCAATTTTCCTCAATATGATAGAAAGGGTAAATTATCCGGTGCTTTGAATTGGAGGGTGTGATATAGCAGAAGTTATTCCCACCTTGGTCTCGTTTTTCAAAATAATATACCATGGAATAGTCATGTACTTTCTATCTACGAAAAAGCCTCCAAACGTTTAAACTTGTTAAAATTGTTAAGGTTTAAAATTAATAGGGCAACTCGTGATTGTTTGTATAAGAGCTTGATACGTCCAATTACGGAGTATGGGGATCTTATATGGGATAATTGTACTGTTGGTAATAGAGACCTGCTTGAAAGTGTCCTTCATGAGTCTGCTAAAGTCGTTACTGGGGCCATAACAGGTACTCGTGCAAAACGTCTGTGAAGAACTTGCTTGGGAGGAGTTGCATGAGCATCAGAAGAAAAATTCATAAATTATCTCATTTCTACAAGATAATTAACAAATCTACTGCTCCGTACCTAGTAGATCTTTTACATTTTTGGTGAACGAAAGATTTAAAATTTATATTTCCTTAAGAACTGGCCAAAATATTAGTGAGTATAGATGTGGAACTGAAAAATTCAAAAAGTCTTTTTTTCCTTCCACGATTTCTTTATGGAACTCTATTGATTTTGATGTGAGAAATTCAATCTCTCATGCCAATTTTAAAGTTAAAATAGTTAACCATTTTCATCCATCTAATTATGATAAATTGCTTAACTTTTCACTTACGAGAAGAGCTTCTGTCTTACATACAAAACTAAGATTGGGTTGCTGTGCCCTGAATGATTATATATAATTCTGTTGTAATGTGCGTGTGGTTTAGAAAGTGAATCTGTAAAACATTATTTATTATTATGTTCCCGTTTTGTCGCTCGACATTATTATGTTCCCGTTTTGTATGAAACTTCTTACCTCAGCTGCACAAGATTGTGGTCAATCATGGCTAGTGGGTGGTGACAAAGAGAAAGTTAAGTGCATGTTGAAAGTGATGAAAGCATCTATCCAGTTGAGCTATGAAGAAATTGTACGTTGTTGGCATAGTTAAACGGTATCAGTATTCTGGATACTTGACGTTTCTCCTAGCCTTATGACTCAATTGTCTCTGTGCCGGTTTGTCGTCCCCTTTGTTATTGGTTGTATTTTTTTGTGTCTGTATTTTTGTAAACATTTAAAAAAAAATTTTGTAAACTGTGAGCCTCCTTGATAAGCCTTGGCTTTTAGGGCAAATATGTCAATAAAGTTTATATAAAAAAAACCAACTTAGTTTTAAGTTTTCGAGAAAGTGCAATATGAAATAAAAATAGCCAAACATCACTATATATATTATAACAATTGAGTCTCTAAGCTGGAAAATAGAAGTTCCAACAAACGGTGGAGAGAAATAAAACGACTTTCTAGTCAAGATATAAAACAGGAGTGGCATCATCAATTCCTCGAAGAGTACAGCATATGGACGTCAAATCCATTGCAAAAAGAAAAATTAATGACATCTTCGTTGACCTTACAAACCACCTCGAACCGCTCACGCCTAGTGGTCCGCCACCTTTATAAGTTCCATAGGATTTATTAGTAACACAACACGAAGTCTATCACTCATTATATTATCCTCAATAAATACCAGCAACGCTGTTGGACCAGACAATATCCCAAATAAGCTGTTGAAAGATTTCGTCTTTGAGCTTGCTCCGGTTATACAAGATATCTACAACCAGTCTCTAACTATGAATATGGAAATATCCCATTGCTTCTAAAGTCTTTCATTGTCAACCCTATCCCTAAAGTGATCCCCCCCCCCGAAGAAGATGGACAGCGACTTAAATTATGGAAGGTTTCATCATCACAACTCTAAAGGATTTGATTTGATTGATCATAACATTTTTACTACGTAAGTTGGAAAAGTTGAGTGTTTCCCCCGTGATCATTAGATGGATCGCGGCATTTTTAACTAGTCGACAACAATTAAGCTGTAAAAATTGAAGATACTACGTCTGTATGGAGAAAATTTAAGGGAGGGATCCACAAGGGCGAAGCTATAGGAGTCGTTTTATTTACAGTAATGACAAACAGACTAATCCCAAATTGGTCTTTGAGAATCAAGTTTGTTGACGATACCTCGGCCTTACAGATCTTACCAAGAAATTCCATCAGCTTACTTAACCATATGTGGTAACGGACATCCATGAATTGGCTATATTGTAGTCACAATATGATACTTAACCCAGGGAAGTGTAAGGATGTTCATTAATTAATTTTATGCATGACCATGACATTCTTGTCAACCCAATCATCATGGGAAACAAAGAAATAGAATGTGTGCCAAATTATAAACTCCTGGGAGTCTATTTAACTGAAGACCTAAATTGGAGTACCCACATAGACTACATATCCAAAAAGGCTTGTAAAAGACTCTATTCGTTGCGAATTTTGCGAAGAGCTGAATACTCACTAGGGGCGGATCTAGAGGTCGTCAAACCGGTCACGCGACAAACGTAAAAATTGCAAACTTAAATAAAGTCTTAAATATTCTACCAATAGTCCAGTTATCTTTTATCATGCAGCGGCAGCTGTATAACAGTCCAGTATCTATTATATATCACGCAGAGCTAGCAATTATTAACATTCCAATCGAAGTGTAATCCAGTGATCAAATTTCATGCAGTGGCTGCTCATTGACTTGACTAAGGGCCTGTTCATATGGGCAGAAGTTATCCCGGTTAGCGAGAAAACTTTTCGACAAGTTTACGAGCGAGATCTCGCCTTGTTACGAAAATAATATGAAAAGTTACGTTGCGTTCATATGAGACGAAAAGTTTTCCCGTGTACCGAGATCTCGCTTGTTGACAGGCGAGATCTCGGTGACCGGGATAATGTTTTCCCCATATGAACACAACTCTCCCGCTTAGCGGGATAACTTTTTGTCGTGTCAGCAACTTTTCAAT